ACATAGGTCTTTAGTGTAGATGTATGTTGATTTTATCAGACGATGCCACGATTATAAATGAGAGTGACTCCTGGTTAACATGTATTAAAAGGGGTCGTGTTTAGTCACTATTTAGTGTGGTATTTTTTGACAATATTCACTCATCATGACAGTAAAATAGGGCATTCTAAGTCAATATACTGCAGTATTTCCTCTCTCAATAAGTAGAAAATATGGTTAACACTAGGGCTGGACAATAATTCAATATCAATATGTATCGCGATGTTTTTTTTTTTTTCAATAACGGTGATATGGTTTTTAAACACATTTCGATATAGCCTACATTACCAGTGTTTCCCATACATTGATTTATTCGTGCGCATGCGATTTATCGTGCAGCCCTAATTACAGCCATTACTGGAGAAACCGCTCTTAAAGCACCTCCTGGCAGACAATCAGTTTGCACTTTTCATACTCTTTATACTGGCTATCAGCCTACACTACCAGTCAAACGGTTTTGAACAGTAAGATTTTTAATGTTTTTTTTTTTTGTTTTTTTTAAGAATTCTCTTCTGCTCAGCAAGCCTGCATTTATTTTATCCAAAGTACAGCAAAAAAAATAATATTTTTGCCATTTAAAATAACTGCTTTCTATTTGAATATATTTTAAAATGTAATTTATTCCTGTGATGCAAAGCTGAATTTTCAGCATCATTACTCCTGTCTTCAGTGTCACGTGATCCAGAAATCATTCTAATATGCCGATTTGCTGATTATCAATATTTAAAACAATTTTTTTTTTCAGGATTCTTTGATGAATAGAAAGACCTAGAGATCAGCATTTATCTGAAATAAAAACCTTTTGTAACATTATACACTATACCATTCAAAAGCTTGGAGTCAGTATGAAATTATAGAAATGAATACTTTTATTTAGGATGATTTAAATTGATCAAAAGTGATGATAAAGACATTTACAATGTTACAAAAGGTTTCGATTTCAAATAAATGCTGTTCTTCTGAACTTTCTATTCATCAAAGAGACCTGAAAAAATTCTACTCGGCTGTTAAATAAATGATTTTTGAGCAGCAACTCAGAATATTAGAATGATTTCCGAAGGATCATGTGACTGGAGTAATGATGCTAAAGCTCTGCTTTGAAATCACAGGAATAAATTACATTTTCAAATATTTTCAAATAGAAAACCGTCATTTTAAATAGTAAATCTATTTCAAAATGTTACGGTTTTTGCTGTATTTTGGATCAAAAAAAAATGCAGGATTGAAAGAATTTCACATTTCTTGTTTGTATGAAGGCTAAATACAAATAAAAGCTGAACATTAATCTATTTGTGCTGGGGTTTTTTTTTCTTCTTCTTTTTTTCTAAAATCTTATATGGTTTTATATGAGGTGTCAGAGACCTGGCAAATTCATTTTTCATAAGTTTGTATGCACAGACATCTGTTGCGGCGTTCTTGGCAGTTTTTAAATCGTGTTCATATCGATATCGGAATTATATCGTACCGACTGAAATTAAGAAATATATCGTGATATACATTTTTGCCATATCGTCCAGCCCTAGTTAACACCCGGTCATGCATGAAAAAAAATCATTGTACCGTGAAACCGGTATAATTTTGAAAAATACCGTGATATAAATTTGTACTCATACCGCCCAGCACTAAGAAACAGTGTATTTGATCTGAATTGATCAGAACAGGTTGCCACGTAAAATTGTTCTTGATTAAAATCCACTCATCTATAATAGAGAATATATATAGATCAGTGTTAAAATCCGATTTGATTCGTGTGCGGACACTGCACAGACTTCTAGAAACGCAAGTAGAGAGCAGTCCTCAAATACCTGAATCATGACTCTAATCTGAATCATGTCCATGAATGAAGTGATGTGGATTAAACCAAGCAGCCTAATCTGTGCTGCTAACACAAACTATGGCGCACACTTTAGCGCCTCCCTAAACTCACTCCAGCAGGACGCTTTCCAGGATGTGTGACAAGCAAACAGTCGGGCAGCACACATGACAACACGTTATCTGGCTTATTAACCACATAAACCACCGGACTCGAGTGGCTATTAACGTATTTAATCTGTTGGAAGGACTTGTTGACTGATAGTTAGCGGAGCTGTTGCTAGCACTCTCCTGCTAGCCGCTGAGCTCAATACTGACACGCACTTTCATGTCTCTCCTCACATTCATTTAAACGCGAATCTCTGGCTCACGGTGCGATTTATAGAGCGTGGTGGTGTCAGTTCTCTGTGTTATTGTGGGGGGGGGGGTCATCTCTCACCTCTTTGGGCACAAGCTGCTTTTCTTCGCTGGGCACCATTTCCATCTGATCCTCCAGCCGCGGTCCGCGGTCAACAAGAGCTCTGCGAGGCGCTTTCGGACGCCATTCTGAGTGTGTTAGGCAAAACCAGGCGGTGTCGAAGAATCAACTTTGGGGCTAAAGGGCTCTTAATCCGGTTTAATCTGCGTTACTTTCTTTCTGCTTGGACTGTGAGCAAAACAGCAATCAATGGAGGAAAAATGGCCGCTCCGCACTTTCGCGAGACTTCACTTCAATCTGCGTCACTTCCGACAACACTCCGTCTGCGTGCGTTATGAAACAGCTGAAAGTGTAAGCCGGCAGTTAGTGAAATGAAAATATTGAGATGTAATTCGAGATTTTGCATGATAGTTACGAAATATAAAACTTGTCCTGAGAACAGTTTGCTGTCCTTATGTAACTGACCTTTGCCTTCATGTATGACAGTGTGGTTTTATTGTGTCCACTGCTTTCCCAACACTGACATTTTAGGTAAGTGGACAGATTAGGTATTATTTTGCCTTTTTTGCCCCTCAAAAATTAAAAAAATGTCTTTCAGTGTGAATTATATATATATATATAATGATAAACCTTTAATAGGTATAAATAGGTACATATTTATTTTTGTATCATTGATATACTATTAAAGTTGTTAATATTTTGATTTGATTCTAGTTATTTATTTTGTTTTAGTGAACAGTTTTAGTAATTTTGTAGCATGTTTTTGTCATTTTTATTCGTTTTTTTTTCAATGTCACATTTTGTATGTATTTTTTAATATGCTGAATAAATTTTTTATTTAGTAGGTTTAATTCATTTAGTATTTTAAATGAAACGAAACTAAAAATGTAGTTTTTTTAGGGTTTAAGTTTTAGTTGACAATAATAACCCTGATTTATATATATATATATATATTTAGAGCGTGGTGGTGGTATATATATTTAAACGAAAAGATTTTTAAAGACTTTAATGGACATTATTTCCTGAACAAGTCATATCCTCTAATGTTTATTCAAATAAACAGGGGGAAAACTTTTCAGAGTTGTATGTGCTAGGGATAGAAATGTGTATTATTTTACAGCAGAGTTGTTGTCCCATATTTTATATTATATTTTATTTTAATATAATCATTCCTTTTGTTCTGCATTTCGTTTTCATTCATTATGTTTGTAGTGTTGGAATGCCGCCTCCCTTGTTGTGTACATTATTTTATAAATAAATGATTTGACCTACAGATAATCTATATAAATATACAGGTTTGTTGTATTTTTTTAGTCATCATCATTTTTTAACAATTGATCTGAACAGATGACAAGATATTCAAAATTCTAAAGGCACAATAATATTTAAAAGATGTCTTTAAAGTGTTAATTGTGACATCTCAAACTAAATGAATCATTGTACACATATTATATATAATGGTTATATATATATATATATATATATATAAAAAATTATAAACTTTT